TTTTGAGCTTTTTTTTTTTTTTTTTTTTTTTTTTACTTTTAAGCTCATTTTTTGAATTATTGTATAACTTTTGACTCATCATACATTGTGTTTTCTGAGGACATGACAACTTTTGAATCTTTGACATTTTTTTTTACATTATATGTATATGAAACCAATTCATTTATCTAACATGTTAAAGCGTGTGACAAAGTCAGACAGAACATTTGTTTTTCCGAAGGCCAGTGTTTTTCACATGTGCTTCCAATTAGGGTACAGTTCATGTCAGTGTTTATGTGCCTACGAAGACCACGCGGAAGAGGGCGACACTTCTCCGAAGGGCAAAGCACCAAACGTTTTAAACCGAGACATACTCTGTAGAACAACACACGGGCAAATTCCGCACAGAATAACAGATTACTCCACACAGCATAAACATCTCTTCACGTTCATGAGTAGCCAACTTTAGAGCAAGCCTCCTGACGCGGTGAGTAATAATGGTAGTCTATTTATAATAGGCTATACTGTGTATTCTATGATACTATTTGACATAACGGAGTAGGGGAGATCCGGATTTCTAACACTTTGTTATTCACTACTTTTTCTCTCCCGGTGTTTAGACAGTTAGATATACAGTTAGGTAAGACATACGTACACGTATATATGTGACCCTGGACCACAACACCAGTCTTAAATTGCTTGGGTATATTTTTAGCAATAGCCAAAATATAATTGTATGGGTCAAAATGATCGGTTTTCAGTAAAGATCATGTTCCATTAAGATATTTTGTAAATTTCCTACCGTAAATATATCAAAACTTAATTTTTGATTAGTAATTTGCATTGCTAAGAACTTCATTTGGACAATTTTAAAGGCGATTTTCTCAGTATTTCGATTTTTTGTTTTTGCACCCTCAGATTCCAGATTTTCAAACAGCTGTATCTCGGCCAAATATTGTCCTAATAAACCATACATCAATGGAAAGCTTATTTATTCAGCTTTCGTATGACGTATAAATCTCAATTTAAAAATTGACCCTTATGACTGGTTTTGTTGTCCAGGGTCACATATTACATACATGTTGAACATCTTTAGTCCAAGAAATAAAATATAGTTAATTAAATGCGCTCATAGCGAGGCGTGTTCACACTACATTTGCTTGATAGATAAAATAGTGTGTTTAAGCTGTATGCTCAATAACATTTTCATGTTAGTAAAACATTAAAAAGATACCACAGGTCGACGTTTTTGGCAAAAGATACAGATACACTTACATCTGTGAAGTGTATGAAATTAATAATAATAATAGAAACGTGGCCTGTGGGTTTTGCTGACTATATGCTGTTGCCACGATACAGGATATATCCTGTATTTAAAATAATGGAAACAAATAAAGGGCACTTTTGAAACGACCATATATAACCGATGCTAGCGAAAACAACCTTTAAATTAAAAAAAAATATATTAGGCTCTAAAATATTGTGACAACCTCTCTATTTGACGAATAGCCTGGGTCTCCCCTTCATCCATTTCATTTCTTTCTTGAATTTAAAATCAGCTTCTCAGTTATTGAACTAGTCAGAACTAGTTCTTGAACTAGTCTTGTCATAAAGATTTATATGAAATATCTCTTGATTTCTTAATTTCTTTATAGTTCATAGTGAAATCTGATGTAGTATATATATATATATATATATAGTACAGTTTGGCCAGTTGCTTCCAATTTCTGACTATTTTTTATTAGAGCAAATCCTTTGACTTTTTTTTATCAGCATCATAGGATGTTAATATATAAAAAAGCAGGCATCAGAGGTGCATGGATACGGTGGTTCGTATGCACCCTTCTCTCACTTCTTCATGGAGTAATATCCGAAACCAGTAGAGCACTGGATATAATGACAAAATATCCACTGATTGATGGGTATGACTTACTATTCACTTTAATTCATTTACACATCATTCATTTTTATTTGTAATCTGCTTTAAACATAACTGGTTTATAATATTATATAGCTGAGAATACTGACAGTAAATGGCTTCAGAGAAGGTTGTAGTTGCACCAACTGCAATAAAAATGGTTTAAAATTTCACACTGCTTCTCTTTCTCTTTACTCAGACACAATGACCTGGCATTACGTCTGAGAATGCATCATAATAACAAACTGAGCACTTTCAATATGCACCACAATCCTAGGGTGGCTACAGATATTAGTCGCCTCACTGCTGGCCATGTTGGAGGACAGGTAATTTCTCCTGGCTGATCTTGAGTATAATCTGAATCTTTAACCATTTGTAAAAATGAAGTCACAAACCTATTTGTGTATACTGTATATCGTGTAGATAAAGTGCTGGGCCTGAAGAACAAGCTTGTTCTGCCCCAAATTCGCACACAGCTAATATTGTGCGGTTTCATGAGCAATATATGATTATCTTTAACCATTATCTTAAAGTCCACTTTCCTCTTCTAATAATTTCTTGAATATGTCACTGAATTTCACTGAAACTGCTCATTTCTGCCTTTGTGTATACTGTATATCGTGTAGATCAAGTGCTGGGCCTGAAGAACAAGCTTGTTCTGCCCCAAATTCGCACACAGCTAATATTGTGCGGTTCCATGAGCAATATATGATTATCTTTAACCATTATCTTAAAGTCCACTTTCCTCTTCTAATAATTTCTTGAATATGTCACTGAATTTCACTGAAACTGCTCATTTCTGCCAAAAATTGTCATCTTTCTTAGACATTTTGGACCCACAAGTGAGTGGCCAGTTTGCTGTTTTGGTTATTTTGTGCATGATTAGATATAAATAAGTCCTTGATATTTGTCAGGTTTCACACAAAAATGAAAATTCTATCATCATTTATCATGACTTCTTTCTTCTGTGGAATATAAATGGTATTTGGAGAAATGTTTTTTTTTTTTTTTACCGTACATTGCAAGTCAAAATGGTCACCAAAACTGTTTGGTTGCCAACATTCTTCAGAATATCTATTTTCATGTTCCACCAAAGAGACATGCACATCCAGTCCGAAACGGAACAAGTCTTTAAACAAAATTTCATCATACAGAGGAACTTGATAAGATAGCACACAGAACCGGTGAACATACTCCTCAATAGAAAGACCTCCTTGCCGAAGATGTAGTAGCTGGGTGACTGGGTCCATACCTGGCCAGAGTCCTCTGGAAAAGCCGCTGGATCCTTGTTGGGCTGAGTATTCTGTAACGGGGCTGACGAGACGTGAGACGTGTGGATCCATCTGCAGGCTTTATTTAAAGAGAAGTGGTAAACAGGCAGGGTCAAACAATGGCAAACAGGTATATGGCGGGCAAAACACAAGAATAGTCCCAGGGCTAGCGTAGGTCACCGATCGGCAGACAGAATCACAGGGGCGAGACGAGAGGGAAAAATCCAGAAAAACAGGCAAAGATCAGAAACCGCGAGCGAAAACAGGTCAAAAACAAGGAAAACTCAGAGACTCGGAATGGGGTACGGGCTAAACAATACTCAGCATACTCAGCAGATAGGAGTGGGTGTTATATAGTGAGTGAGGTGATTAGAAACAGCTGTGTGCAATGAGTGCAATCAGTGCAGTGTGCAAATCGTGCAAAGAATGATGGGATATGCAGTCCGGGGTGCTATGCAACAGTTTGTGTTGTGCGAGAGTCAATGTAATGGAAAGGGTGACCTCTGGTGGTGAATAAACGGAAGTCCATGGACCGAATTCGTGACAACACTGAAGGCGAGATATTTAAATTCACCATGAAACAGTGTTCGCAACCCATTTTACTATGGTAAATGGGACATATTTCTATGTCAGGCAGTTGAAGGGTAACTATTTAACAGTATAATATTATATTACACTACTGTTCAAAGAAATGTTTGAAGAAATTAATACTTTTTTTCAGCAAGGATGCATTAAATTGATCAAAATTGACAGTAAAGACATTTATAATGTTACAAAAGATTTCTATTTCAAATAAATGTTCTTTTCT